ATTTCAATTCTTTTTTTAATTTAATCCACTTTACCAGCAGTTTTCTTTTAAAACGCAGACCTTATGAAAATACTGTCTCTGTTTTGGTCACAATCTTTTATGGTTTAAACCTAGTATATATAACTTTGATAACAAATATAAGAAACCATATGCAAAAAGCTGAAACTTCTAATACTGTATGTTTTATGTCTTCTGATATACCGATATAATTGAAATAAGTGCCTTTCATTCTACGTTAGTTGAATCTTTTGTTTTTTGAATGATTGCATGAAATAAAAATTGGTGAGGTTTGAGTATTTATAAACTAGATTACACCCCACTTTTTGTGTCTCCCAAACGAAGTTTGATGACTTTCTGTTTTTGATCCGTTTCTTCTTATTATGTCCCCACATAAAAGGGGTGATCTATTGTCCGTTCGTGTGACAACAATTATTGCACGTTTCTTTTTTCTTCTTCTTCTTATTTTTATTATTCCACACTATTTGTCCGCGCTAGTTCTCGGAATTCAATGGACCAATGTTGATGGAACTATACTATAACGAGGATTACCATGTGAATTTTTTGCACGTGCAAGATGGCCACCGTTTCAATGGAAACTGAAAAAACGTGACTTTTTTCTTCATATTTCTAAATCTTAGTATAAGACCTAACCAGTAAAACTTTTTATTGAAATGTTGCCTGGTGTATGTGTAGGCAGTATATAGAAATTTCTAAAATGGCCGCCATTGCCATGGAAAATTCAACATTAAACCCTATCGAAAACACATTTAAGTGGCATTTTCTTTCATAACTTGGAAGATCAAATCCAGTGAAACTTTATTGGAATGAAACTTTACATGTGCATTCCAATGTGGAATCTGTCATGGAACTTTCAAATATGCTACCGTTACCAAGGAAACAGCAAAAATGTGAAAATTCTAAAAATGCTTCAAACTTTATGAAACTTTACATAAATGTCAATTGGAATATGCTGATGTTCCATTTTAGACATTTGGATTGCGTTAAAATGTGAAAAGTTAAATTGAAAAATGCTCCAAACCTTTTGAAAATTTACAGAAATATTTGTCATATTTGCCAGCATTTATTGGCATGCGTATAATTTTGTGAATTTTTTGTTTGAAAAATTCAAAATGGCTGCCGAACGGTGGCCGGTTAGTGGCAATTGCCGGACCGGGTTGACATCGGTATTGCTTGCAACGGTAATTCTAGTTCTACTAAATTTTTCTTCCACACTATTTTTTGTCCTCTCAGAATTGAATGGACCCAAATTGATGGACCTATACCGTAATAAGTGTGTAAATAAACTATGTGTAGTTGTGCACCTGACTTTGAAATTTTCAAGATGACCGCCGTTACGATGGAAATTTAAAAAATGGGAAAAATCGAAAATAGTTTCAAATTTTATGAAACTTTAAGCAAAAATCCACGATTATTTATTCGAGCATCACGTGACGTGACATTCTTTCTCACGGACGGGTCATATTTTAAATTCATATAGATCTCAAACAAATCAAAGACAATTTTCCAATTAAATTACACAAAACACATATACCCAACTTATTAAAAAAAAATTATCCAGAGGATCATAGAATAAAGGGGAAATTATTCATGAACGTGATAATTGAAATTTTCTACGGGGTAGGAGGAGAGTTTCAAAGGCATGAAAGTTCATACAAATAAAATATGAGTAATGTCAACTGGCATGTAAAGATGTGCCATTTGACTTTGGATTATTCTAAATGGTTGCTGTTACAGTGACAGTGGCCAGTACGAGGGACATTCGCTATTGCTTGCAATCGCAATTCTAGTTATTTTTTATTTTTCGAAACCGATGAACGGCAAGTGTAATATGTCGAATTTTTCCGAAGATCGTACGCCCTTAAGCAGGTTTTAGGAAGTAATATATATATATTATGCATTTGTAGATAAATGCCATTTTCTATGTCAGCATTTTTATATATGGATAGGTTGCAGAATGTGGAAGGGGAAATAAGTGTAATAATTGTCCCTTTACTCTCAAAAAGGGGTGGCGAAATTATTTTTTGCTGCCACCACCCAGATTACTCAGTTACTTTGTAGATGGTGAAACTGAATTTTTACCTGTAAAATCCACATCTTGTACTTTTTTCTTGTCGAAAAAGTAAATGTTCCAAAAAAAAAATCATGAACTATTGTTGCCCTTCCCCCTGGTCTAAAAAGCATGTTCCGTCGCCACTGTATTATAGATGTATATGTACTAGATATACTCACCAGGGCGTTTTCCCCTTAAAATGTATCTACTTTACACCATAAAATAATGGTTAATGCAAAATGTTAGCTTTCAATTATTTAAGATGGGATCTTTCAGCAACTTAACTGTTTTTTAATGGTAAAGTATGATAAATGTACGATTTCTCATTACATTTAATGGCATCATGGTGTAAATCATATTGATATAAGTTAAAACATCAAACCATGAATTTCAGTAATAAAATTGAAAATCTGAGAATAATGTCAGTAGGCAAGTCAAAACTTTTACAGAATCATAGGCTTTTGGGACATGTATCCCCCTTTTCTTTTATATATATACATCATTACTCTAAATATCAGCACAACAATGTTAATTCTGCAAATTTGCGGAAGCAAATTTTTGTTCTTCCCTCGCCGGGATTCAAACTCCAGCTATTGAGATATCGAGACAACACCGCCTGCTCTGTGTCCAGCGCTCTAGACCACTTGGCCACCTAGACTGAACTAAAAATTCAGCTTTCGGTGGCCTAGTGTTTCCTTTCCTCGTCAGTAGAATCTAGAGTTGCAACACAGTACATGATATATATATATAAAACGCCTAAAAAGTGTACACAACAACACCAATAACAAAAGAAGGAACTATAAATGTAATTATTTATAAATATTCCGGATAACAGATATCCTTCATCAGTAAATATGATTGTGATGTTGAATGAATCATATATCAGTCTACTTAGATTAAACTATAACAATCTTGAAATTTATACAATAAAAAAGTCCAACCGAACATCAGGTAAGACGCTTGCACAATTCTAAATATGTGTTAAACACGACATAGGTTATATGACTAGTTACAACAGAGAGTTCAAATATATGCTTTAAATATAAATAATAATGTGCGATATGAACTAGCACAATTCTAAAGCTTTAACGGTGACGACAGTTATGATGTTACAAGAACGATTGCGTCAATAAGAATTCCAAATAAACAGCACTGAACGATCTAAATTTGTAAATATTTAAAATTTGACAACGGTAGAGTAGTTACAACAGAGTCTGCGTATTAAAACATCGCAAACAAACGGCCGTTAAAATATAATAATAAATTTTGACTAAGGTTAACTAGTTGAACGTGGCTTGGTACTTTTACATCCCTCAAAAAATTAAGCAATCTAAATTGGTATATTTAACAGATTTATTTTAGAGATGAGTAAGGTAAAGAAATAGAAACAGAGACTGTAATAATAAGTAATATAACCCAAATGTGAAGCACTGCATGGAGTCGAACTACATCTTTTCATTTATCCCATTTGGTGTCAAAGTTGTTAATTTTCTTATCCAAAATCTTTCCCGGGTGAGTCTATCCTCCCTAGACCAAGCAGAGTTGTGGTCAATGATTGTAATGGTCAGTCGATTGAGATCTGCCTTAGTGTGGCCAGGGGATCTCAAATGTCGACTGAGAGGGAGGTCTGGCTTGCATTGGTAGTCGCTACGATGACCGTTCATTCGTTTGTGAAACGGCTGTTCTGACTCGCCAACATACTGTTTACCACATTTACACTGTAGGAGATACACAACATTTGTAGTCTTGCAATTAACATTGCAAAATATGGTGTATTCTGTACCAGTGGAGTGACTGTTAAAAGTCTGGGTAACCAGTATTTGTTTGCAAGTCAGACATCGTTTGTTTCGTTCTTGTAACATCATAACTGTCGTCACCGTTAAAGCTTTAGAATTGTGCTAGTTCATATCGCACATTATTATTTTTATTTAATTAAAGCATATATTTGAACTCTCTGTTGTAACTAGTCATATAACCTATTTCGTGTTTAACACATATTTAGAATTGTGCAAGCGTCTTACCTGATGTTCGGTTGGACTTTTTTTATTGTATAAATTTCAAGATTGTTATAGTTTAATCTAAGTAGACTGATATATGATTCATTCAACATCACAATCATATTTACTGATGAAGGATATCTGTTATCCGAAATATTTATAAATAATTACATTTATAGTTCCTTTTTTTGTTATTGGTGTTGTTGTGTACACTTTTTAGGCGTTTATATAATTTATTTATTGTGTACATGTATCGTTACTCGTAACGATCCAGCGCCCTCGTGGGAAAAATCGTTGACTATTATTCAGACGTTTTATATATATATATATATAAAGTGCCAAGAAAATCAATATATATATATATATATATATATATCTTTTGGAATAGAATTCGTTATTAAATTTTTCTACAAAAAGGTAGAGAGGGCAGCATGTATAAACCATATTTACTGTAAGATGGAATGGATACGAGCATGAACAGTTTAAGAGAAACTAATTTGAAATATTACATAACATTAAATATAAACTTCAATACAAAAAGAAAGAAAAACATGGGTACACAATCGGTCAAAAAGATGAGTTGAAAATATATTTGAAAGTATATTTTTGTACATGGTGCACGTTCGAAATTAGTTAGGTAACCTTAATACCTGTTGATATACTTCTCTATTACGAATGAAAATAAATAGATATTAAAAAAAACTTTAAAAATATGCATGCTAATCTAGATTTAATGTAGTAGTTTAAAAACTGACCATATTTATTTTTTATCTATTTATGATTCTTCTATGACAATGAAGAAGATTATTATGATATATATATATCAATTTAAAAAGCTGAACATTTATCATTTAATACGAAATGAACGACCCTGAAAGGTTCAAACTGGCATCGCAGAATCACAGGATAATAGATTAGCATATAAATGATGTTTGCGTAGTATGAATCTACAGGAATAAATCATGTACGATGTGATGTAAGGTGAAAGCCAGCCGGGTTATCAAGCCATGCATGTCACTTCCTATTGTCAGCCTCCCTACTGTTACAGGCAGTTCGTTATTTCCGCTCTCTTATTCACTGTATGTAACATGTATTAAAGGAGAGCATGGATTACATCTGGATAAAGGTAAGATTTGTAATTACTTTTCATTAAATCTTTCTTTTATTTATCTCTTTTAATATTTTGCATGCGGTAACCGTTATGCACCTAATCTATCAGAAATCATTTTTTGGAGATTAAATTAATGTATCTGATATTATCACTTATTTGATCACTGTAGTGTTGGTTTGTTCTTTGATTTAGACTGCGATAACGTAACCGTATATAAAAATCGAAAGGAATAAAAAGATTTATTCAGCTGTTTAATAGGCCAAATAACTAGCATTGAGTAGGTCCAATATTGACGGACAATATGGTATAACACAATACCAGCCAGATTGTCAAATGTTTATTTTTTGTGCATTTATTTTTATAACAATTATTTGAACTCTCGGATAAGTTTTAGTCTGACAAAATGTGTCTTGGAATTAGAAGGAAAAAATGGCTAGTTTTGAAATAGAGAAAAAGAGAAGAAAGTTGTATATTTAATCCTGAAAGTTGGTACACATGCATTATCATAAGCATATATATGGGTTCATTTACTACGCTAGGATAGAACGAGCACAAAGTGCTGGTTAGGAGTATCATTTTTTGTTTGTTTGCTTTTTTAGGGTATTTAGGGTTTGTTTTTCGTTTTTTGTGTTGTTTTTTTTTGGGGGGGGGGGGGGGTGATTTCTAGAAGAAAATAAAGGGAAATGTTTGTCTAGTATAAAAAAAAGTGTGCTAATTAAAAACTTAGTAAGATTATTAAAGCGAACGTGCGTGATTAAAGCATCTCAGTATTTGTGAAAGTGGATCGCTCATTATCAAAACGGAAAGAACGGTCAAATACAAAATGAATCTTTTTAATTGTTAAAACGTACTAATATATATTTCCCTGAGGCTGTAACTTGGCGCCTTCTCCTTTTTTAAAATGTTTTGGAATATGACGCACTTTACATTTGTCAGACTACATAACTTTTTAAAAAACTCGTGTTTCTGTAATACTAATGTGTACAATGGTGTGTTTTTACTTACTCGATCGTCACTGATGAGTCTTTTGTAGACGAAACGCGCGTTTATACTCATTAACAGACGTTTTCGTATTGTCTGATTAAAATCGGACAACTGACCAAGCCTTGGCTATCCAAATGACAGCTGTGGCGTGAGTGTGTATTAGTAATAATGCATATCCATGTAAACCGATTATAAAGGATTTAACGCACATGAATATGATTAATCATGCACGAATTAGCAATAAAAAAGCAGTACGTGTTTACTTTCAAACATTGTTTACAGGGTACTCAAATCTGATGAGTAATCGCACCGGTACACTCACACTACTACGACAAATATATTTATACTGACAGGCAATGCTTATTACAAGAGATTCAGTCTAAGATTTCTTCGACAATACACATTTATTCGTTAATAAGACTCTCTCTTCTTCATTAACAGTTTTTATTTCTGTGCCACTTTCTTTTGTAAATGGTTAGACGTTGTATACTAATTCAACAACATTTTCTGTCGAATTTTACGTGTTCAATTTATTGTAAGTTCTTCGTGCCGACAGTAAGTGATACATCAACTATTTTTAAAACTGCGGTTTCCTGACAATTTCCAGAAGCATAAAAACATGCGGTTTATTTTCTATGTCTTCTCATTTATTTTGGATATATTTTATATTAAGCACTCGTTCTGTCTTTTTAATCATTTTAATCCACCAGATTAAACCTTCTCGAGATTTTTTTCTTTTTTTCTTTTTTTCTTTGTGATCCCCCGGATCATTGGTTTAAACTTTCTCGTGCTTTCTTTCTTGTTTTCTTTTTCTTTCGTTCTTTTTTTCTTTCTGTCTTGCTTTGTACTCCCTGACCGCACAGCAACATGCTGTACTGGATGTTGACCTGAGAGGACAAATTCTCACTTAGTATAGTCTGAGTGATGCTTCTGAAGAATAACAACACTGTTAATCTAATTATTACTATTTACTTATATCATTCAAACAACATATGTATTTTGTATGAGTAATCTGTTTTCCACATTTCACTATCTCAAGTGCAACATTTATCGGTTTACATTCTTTTTATACTCGTTCAGCCGAAAGTGCAAAACATAGGTATCCTCTTAAGTCGATCATTAAACGATCTGAATAAAGTGTGTATTTGAAGTATAAGCTAAACTATATCATGATATAGTAGAAAGTTTTTAAAATATACGTTAAATCAGTTAAGATAAACATTACACATTTAACAATACATTGACATAAAAATAAGGAGATGTGGTATGATTGCCAATGAGACAAAAGGACATTAAGAAATCATCATACGGTCTTTAACAATGGACAAAAGGCTACACCGGATGTCAAGCTGTAGATACAACTGAATCGAGACATGTTTTTGAATAAATCAACAATCGCAACCAACACCAGGTTTTGAGACAGAAACATTACAGAATATATTTTGTTTTGAAGAATATGACGTTTTGTAAACTCAGAATATGTAACCATAAACTTCCAAATGAACTATAAAGATGGTTCAATATAGAACGGGAAAATTGAAGGTGTAAATTATGTAAATTGGACATTGGGGATGAATTTCATTTCATTATAAATTGTTCACATTGTATAGAAGAGAGAGATACATATATATAAAAATTAAATTAAATAGAAGGTTAAATATTATACACTTTACTGAAATTATGTCTTCAGTTCTACAAACAGGACAGATCTCATAAATTTTGTGAATAAATTGAAATTGTACTTTTTTGTTGTTGTCAATAAGTATGTTTATGTATTTAATATGATATCTTCTCTTTACCAGTCCTATGTATTTGGTGATGAAAGTAAAGTTGTATTATGTCTTAAATAGAATCTGATTTTAGTGCACAACCCTTCTTATATCTTTATATCTCGTGCTGTATTACCTGATTACAAAGAACAATAAAAATAAAACCAGAAAATATTTATTTATATACAAAATTACACTTGAAATCGTTGTTAAGACCAAACTGACTAATCATAATTAAGAAATATTAATAGTTTGGACAACATTTAAAAATATCGATTGTTGCTTGCTTAACGTCCAGTGGCAAATTTTTATACGATCGCAAAAAAAAAAACGTTGGCGTCGTCGTCGTCGTCCGAAGACACATTGGTTTTCGCACTCTTACTTTAGTTTAAGTGAATGGATCTCTATGAAATTTTACTTTAAGGTTCAATACCACAAAAGGAAGGTTTGGGATTGATTTTGGGGGTTATGGTACCAACAGTAAAGGAATTAGGGGCCAAAAAGGGGCCAAAAATAAGCATTTTTGTAACTTCCAGACATAACTTGTGTGTTAGTGTATGGATCTCTGTGACATTGTACCACAAGGTTCCATATCACAAAGGGAATGCTGGGATTGATTTTATGGGTAATTGCCTCAAAATTTTAGGAATTAGGGGCCAACAAAGGGGCAAAAAACAAGCATTTTTCTAGTTTCATGACAATAACTTGTGTGTAAGTGTATGGATCTTTCTGAAATTGTACTACCAGGTTCCATATCACAAAGGGAAAGCCGGAATTGAGTTTGGGGGTAATTGCCCAAAAAGTTTAGGAATAAGGGGCCAAAAATAAGCATTTTTCTAGTTTCCAGACAATAACTTGTGTTCAAGTGTATGGATCTCTCTGAAATTGTATTGCAAGGTTCCTTATCTCAAAGGGTAAGCTGGGTTTGAGTTTGGGGGTAATTGCCCTAAATGTTTAGGAATTTGAGCCAGAAAGGGGCCAAAAAACAAGCATTTTTCTAGTTTCAGGACAATAACTTGTGTGTTAGTGTATGGATCTTTATGAAATTGTACTACAAGGTTCCATATCTCAAAGGGTAAGCTGGGTTTGAGTTTGGGGGTAATTGCCCTAAATGTTTAGGAATTTGGGCCAGAAAGGGGCCAAAAAACAAGCATTTTTCTAGTTTCCAGACAATAACTTGTGTTCAAGTGTATGGATCTCTCTGAAATTGTACTGCAAGGTACCATATCACAAAGGGAATGCTGGGATTGATTTTGGGGGTTATTGCCTCAAAATTTTAGGAATTAGGGGCCAAAACTTGTGTTCAAGTGTATGGATTTCTCTGAAATTGTACTGCAAGGTACCATATCACAAAGGGAATGCTGGGATTGATTTTGGGGGTAATTGCCTCAAAATGTTAGGAATTAGGGGCCAAAAAAGGGGCAAAAAACAAGCATTTTTCTAGTTTCATGACAATAACTTGTGTGTAATTGTATGGATCTTTCTGAAATTGTACTACCAGGTTCCATATCACAAAGGGAAAGCCGGAATTGAGTTTGGGGTAATTGCCCAAAACGTTTTGGAATAAGGGGCCAAAAATAAGCATTTTTCTAGTTTCCAGACAATAACTTGTGTTCAAGTGCATGGATTTCTCTGAAATTGTACTGCAAGGTACCATACCACAAAGGGAATGCTGGGATTGATTTTGGGGGTAATTGCCTCAAAATTTTAGGAATTAGGGGCCAAAAAGGGGCAAAAAACAAGCATTTTTCTAGTTTCAGGACAATAACTTGTGTGGAAGTTTATGGATCTTTATGAAATTGTACTACAAGGTTCCATATCACAAAGGGAAAGCTGGGTTTGAGTTAGCGGGTAATTGCCCTAAATGTTTAGGAATTTGGGGCCAAAAAGGGGCCTAAAAACAAGCATTTTTCTAGTTTCCAGACAATAACTTGTGTTCAAGTGTATGAATCTCTCTGAAATTGTACTGCAAGGTACCATACCACAAAGGGAAGGCTGGGATTGAGTTTGGGGGTGATGAATCATAAGGGGGTTCAAAAAATTTGGGGAGGGATTTTTTTTTTCTTTTTTTTTCTTTTTTTTCCTTTTTTTTTTCTTTAAAATTTTCCATTTTAAATTGGTTATTTCTGATTTATATATAAAAGCAAATAATAATGATATGGTTTGAATAGGTTAATTAAAAAATTTTAAGTTCTTAAACCACATTCATTCTGTGTCAGAAACCGATGCTGTGTCAAATATTTAATCACAATCCAAATTCAGTGCTGTATCAAGCTTGAATGTTGTGTCAATACTTGCCCCAACTGTTCAGGGTTCGACCTCTGCGGTCGTATCAAGCTGCGCCCAGCGGAGCATTTTATTAACGCATGTTCAGAACGATATAAAATATAAAGCACACATATACCAAATGTATCTCCATAAGTTTTAGAAAATAGGTTGCACATACTACTATTAAGCTATTTGTTAGAAAAATCTAATATTTATGTATAAAATATTCTACATAATTGATTGCTAACTTGCAATTATAAGATACACATTCATGCTGTGGTTCATTTTTTTTAATTAAATATTCATATGTGAACGTAGCATGCCCGGTCCGAACTCGGTTGTCTCCTACATTTAACACGAACGTTTTTTTCAATGCATTAAAAACATGTTTAGAAATTTATTCATTTCAGTCTTTTTGGCTTCCTAACTCAAACTGCTTGAAATTAGATATTTGATTTTGCTTCGTTAGATTAGTTTGTCGCTCGTGTATAAATCAAGCTTCCTGACACTCTATTTTTTTCCACTAAGGGTTAGTAATAAATTATGCTTCCCGACACTCTATTTTTCCACTAAGGGTTAGTAATAAATTATGTTCTCAGCAGGTTGACAGTAACGAGGTAGTATGTATATAAGTAAGAGTGCAATCTCGTAATTCGGTATATTAATTTTTACATAATGTATTTTGCAGTTGATTGCGGTGTGTGTCTGTAGTTTAGTGGTATCAGTAGATCTCTCAGCAGGTGAGTGTATATTTTTATCGTTCTGGAACACCACCAAAGATACAACAGTATCTTCTTTGTCATGGGAAACGAATATCTTTGCTATGACATGAATAGTACGTATTGCCGTATAAACTCAAATGTCTTATGGATGAGGTTCAAGAACGGGGGTACTGCATTTTGGTATTTCAAGTGGCAAAAAAAATTGTATTGCACTCTTTTTCCATGTTTGTTTGCTAATGATATTTTTGCCGTATCAACATAAATTTCTTTTGAATATGGTTAACAAATGGAGGTACTACATTTTGGGTTGTGCAAGTGGTGGCAAAACTATTGGATACATTTTTCCTGCTTGTTTGTTTCTAAGCAGTATAGTTGTTTCTCAGCAGTATAGTTTGTTTGTTTCTAAGCAGTATAGTTGTTTGTTTATTTCTAGGCAGTATAGTTTGTTTGTTTCTAGGCAGTATAATTTGTTTCTCAGCAGTATAGTTTGTTTCTAGGCAGTATAGTTTGTTTGTTTCTAGGCAGTATAATTTGTTTCTCAGCAGTATAGTTTGTTTGTTTCTAGGCAGTATAGTTTGTTTGTTTCTAGGCAGTATAGTTTGATTGTTTCTAGGCAGTACATTTTGTTTGTTTCTAGGCAGTATAGTTTGTTTGTTTCTAGGCAGTATAATTTGTTTCTCGGCAGTATATTTTGTTTGTTTCTAGGCAGTATAATTTGTTTCTCGGCAGTATAGTTTGTATGTTTCTAGGCAGTATAGTTTGATTGTTTCTAGGCAGTATAGTTTGTTTGTTTCTAGGCAGTATAGTTTGATTGTTTCTAGGCAGTATAGTTTGATTGTTTCTAGGCAGTATAGTTTGATTGTTTCTGGGCAGTATATTTTGTTTCTCGGCAGTATAATTTGTTTCTAGGCAGTATAGTTTGTTTGTTTCTAGGCAGTATAGTTTGATTGTTTCTAGGCAGTATAGTTTGTTTGTTTCTAGGCAGTATAGTTTGATTGTTTCTAGGCAGTATAGTTTGTTTGTTTCTCGGCATTATAGTGTGTTTGTTTCTAGGCTGTATAATTTGTTTCTCAGCAATATAGTTTGTTTGTTTCTAGGCAGTATAGTTTGATTGTTTCTAGGCAGTATCAAGGCAGTAGTTTGATTGTTTCTAGGCAGTATAGTTTGTTTGTTTGGCAGCAGTATTGATAATTTGTTTCTCAGTAGTATTGTTTGTTTGTTTCTAGGAAGTATAGTTTGTTTCTAGGCAGTATAATTTGTTTCTCAGCAGTATAGTTTGTTTCTCATCAGTATAGTTTGTTTGTTTCTAGGCAGTATAGTTTGATTGTTTCTAGGCAATATAGTTTGTTTTTTTCTAGGCAATATAGTTTGTTTGTTTCGTAGCAGTATTGATAATTTGTTTCTCAGTATAGTTTGTTTCCCAGCAGTACCGATAATTTGTTTCTCAGTATAGTTTGTTTGTTTCGCAGCAGTATCGATAATTTGTTTCTCAGTATAGTTTGTTTGTTTCGCAGCAGTATCGATAATTTGTTTCTCAGTATAGTTTGGTTGTTTCGCAGCAGTATCGATAATTTAATTGTTTCTCAGTATAGTTTATTTGTTTCGCAGCAGTATCGATAATTTGTTTCTCAGTATAGTTTGGTTGTTTCTCTGCAGTATTTTTTTCTCAGTAGTTTTGTTTTCGAATAATAAAACCCTTTCGTTTTTTGACCCCCATAACAACTTAAATTCAACTTGACCAAAATAGTTCACAAGTCCTTCATTGTAAAATTTTGCACGTCATGATGGTCACGGAGGTATCAGATTCAGGCTCTTTAAAACCTCTAGTTCTGAGAAATCGTTTGAGGCGATACATCAATACCTATACAATATATGTACATCGTCTGACATTTTATAATTTATTTGTACAAATGTGCATGTCGAATAAGACGAAAAGCGAGGCTAGCCGAGCTTTTCTCCTGTTTCGTAGTGAGTACAAATCAATTCCATACAATGTACATATATTGTTTTTATCCTGCAATTTGAACGTGGTAATTTCACGTGTACTTATTTTATATCAAAATTTTTGCTCACATTACTGGACCGCGGAGAGGACCCCAAAATGAACTTGTATGTGCTTTTACATTACCGTTCGCTCAGGATGGAAGCGGGATAGAAGGAGACTTTATCTCAAAGTAAACATTTATTTGTATACCTGTTATTTGTACAATATATAGTTGGCTAATAGCAGGATAAAATGATGGATAGTTGTAATAAAATCAAATATATGACCAAAATCTCAGTCACATGCTGGGACATTTTGATAATACATGAGTTAATCTATATCAAATGTATGTATGCGTGGGTGAATAGCTTGTTATCATGCTGAGTTTACTTATAAATATCTAAATATAACTTCTTCAATAGGATGGATGCATTGGTTATTAACGTCCAGTAGCAAATAGTACATGCATATCAGAACGATAACATTATTGATCTGATATTAGAATAAACCCTGTTTTGTGCCAGACCGACACGATGGCGCTTAACGTGCTATTTCACAAAGTAACAGTTTGCAAGAAGACGTGTCACTCTACCCAAACGCATTATTCTAACTCTTATTAACCTCGGATTGAACCCAACACCTCCATCATAGCCAGTCGAGGCAAGCAGGTGGGTTGTTCTCTGCATCAAATTGCTTCGACTTCTATAAAAAAAAAATGGATCAGATTGCGGAAAGGAACACATTAAGAATATACTTTGTATCAAGCTTGGTAAACGGGAGGTTACGATGCAATCACGATTTGAAAAAAAAATATTTGAGTACCCTTGCTCGATTGTTTTAAATATTTTGCCGAAAAAGTTATTTCTAAATTTAGTAATCGAATGTCACTGTGTGTTTATTTGTTGATTATTTTATTAAATGACAGTATTGATAGAACCGCAAAACACAGATGAGGCTTCCACATTGTAAATTTCTAGTGAATTTTGAAAATGGGCTTTGCTCATTGTTGAGGGCCGTACGGTGACCTATAGTTGTTAATTTCTGTGTCATTTGGTCTCTTGTGGAGAGTTGTCTCATTTGCAATCATACCACATCTTCTTTTTATATCTATAGCCGGTGAAATAATCTGAAGGGAAAATGGTAATTCCTCTCCCTCTTCCATCATTGCGTATTAATTTTGACATTGACCTTTTGATTTATGATGGAAGTTTTAAATATACAATTTCATCAGAAAATCGTACGCTGCAAAACGTCCGGTATAGCCATCAATCTGTTTGTCGGCGTAGTTGTGCATGTTGTGTACGCGTTGCATAAAATCTAATTAAAACCAAAGACATGTACATATCAACGAAGTTAAATGACTTTTTAAACGTATACATTTTCTTTATTTCTAGCACTTTTTCGGAACGTAATTTACGTAGAATTTTGGTAAATAAACAGCCCATCTCAACAAATAACACATGAGTTTTATCAAACCTCGCTATTACATAATCTTAATTACTGTTATAATCTTCCATCTGAAGATTAACGTCTCAGCTAATAACTCTATAATTTCCGGCATAGATTTGCGATCTATCTCAAATTAAAATAACATAGTACGGAGTATATTAAATTGTTGTATTTTCCAATAAATTTGAATACAAATTAACTTCTTCATATATAAATGTGCAATGGTTGTGTCTATTTAGATGATTAAGTTGCGTATAAAAAAAGGTATCCAGTCGACATTGAAATAGTGGAGTGACTTTAACCATAAAATAAAATTTTTAATGCACCAACCTAACACACGGCTAAAATATATATTATTCGAAAGCACAACATCTGTATTATCTGTTTCGCCCGGTCGTAAAAAATTCGTACGGTGCAATTTCCGCCTAATCAAGATCAAAAGTCAAGTACGAATAAGTGCATATTTTCCAAGATGTCAGCTTTATTGCATATTCTGACTTTCATATAATAAAATCATGTATGCAAACAATTTTTAAAGCTTTAAGCAGAGTGATGAACAGTCACTTACAGGGGCGGATTCAGGCGGGGGCGTGGCGGGCGCGCCCCCCTAAAATTTGCAAAGCATGGGTTGTCCTCAGCTTAATAAAGAATATTTCGATAATTTTACCTCAAAAAAATTTTCGCCTCGCTCGGCTCGGCAAAACTTAATGTTTGAGCCCCCTTACCTAAAATCCTGGATCCGCCCCTGACTTATCACACGCATTTTTAAATATTTAAAGCGTGTTTTTGACAGACATCACATGTTTCCTGAAATTCGAGTAAAAGTTGAAGTTAACAAAATGTGTGAAAAACATTTTTTTTCTGATGCAACTGCCTGTCGCTTGAAACTAAGTAAGACCCTGTAATTAGTGTTAAAGAAGTTTTTGACATCATCAATTTCCTATAATTATGCTAACTTCTAATCAAACAGCAAACCATAACAACTCATACAGTTGCCCAAAATACCGCCATCTGTGGAAACACAGCTTTTAAGCACTTCTTCCTTTTTAAACATTGTATGTGGTCAATATAAGATTAAAGAACCAAATTCTTAAGAATATGAAAACATTTAAAGGAAAAAGTTTATGCGAGCATCATGCTATTGCAGTAATTTAAGGGGGCGAAACTTCGACATTGCAATGTGCATCGTAACTGCCAGTCTGAAATAAACAGCTTTCGACTTTTCTTATCGTTTGATTTGTAATTTCATTAAAAACATTGATGTAGTGAAAAGACCTTTTATGTATATAATGTCAACCATAAAATAGAAATTAAAAATATAGACAAAAATAAATAAAGCATAAATTAATGAAAATTGAAATTTCAAAGAATTTACTTACTAGTACTAGTATACAAGTTAAAAAAAAAATTGTCTTCTTGGCTGCTTCAACTGCATTGTTCATTGTTTAAATGCATACTTGAAATTCATCGAAAAAGAATAATTTTGTTGAAAATATTCTACTAACTCGCAATCATTCTAGTTACAACTAGACTTCCTGAATAGCTTGAATGACTTGTTCCTTTATTCACATGAGGCTGACTTCAT